AATAACCACACCTAGAGTTTAGTTCCCTTGCCAGCTGACAAGAGAGCTGTAGGGTATAAATGGGTGTTTAAGGTGAAGTACAATGCCAAATGGGAGGTGGAAAAGTATAAAGCTCGCTTGGCGGCCAAAGGTTATACACAACAAGAAGGTCTTGACTATCAAGAGACCTTCTCCCCTGTGGTGAAGATGGTCACAATAAGGACTGTTTTGTCCTTAGCTGCTATGAAAGGATGGAAGCTACACCAAATGTATGTCTTCAATGCATTTCTTCAAGGTGATTTACTGGAAGAAGTGTACATAGCTCCACCCCCTGGTCTTCTAGGTGAGGGGGAGCCTCCTAGAGTGGAAAGGTTTAGAAATCATTACACGGGCTCAAACATGCCTCTAGACAATAGAACTTGAAGCTTAGTTAGGCCCTCTCATTCTCAAGCTTTGTCGAGAGTCACCATGACTATTAACTTTTTAGTAAGCAGTCTGGTTCTCACTTGGTCATTATCTTGATATATATGGATGACCTCTTAATCACTGGTTCCTCTCCTTAGTTGATTTAGGAAGCTAAAACAGTGTTCTAACATGACTTCAAGATCAAGGACCTGGGGGAAATGAGATACTTCCTTGGTCTTGAAATTGCAAGGAGCAGACATGTCATTTTGGTTTGTCAAAGGAAGTTTACTCTTGACCTCATTGCCACACTTGGTCTTGCAGGTTCCAAACCAGCTTGCACACCTCTAGACACAAGCCATAAGCTTACCAGTGCAGAGTATGATCAAGCCAGTTTGCATGAAAATATAGGTCCTGATGAATTGCTTAGTGATCCAAGCAGTTATCAGAGACTAGTGGGGAAGCTGTTGTACCTTACCATGACAAGGCCAGGCATCAGCTATGCTGTATAGAACTTAAGCCAGTTCATGCATAAGCCAAAGAAGTCACATATGGAAGGAGCATTGAGGGTGGTAGGATACCTGAAGAATGCACCTAGTTTGGGGATTCTACTGTCATCTCAGTCTTCTAGCCAACTCATAGTATATTGTGATGCAAACTAGGCGACATGCCCAATGACTAGAATGTCAGTGAGTGATTTTGTCATAAAGCTAGGTGACTCTCTTATCTTTAGAAGTCCAATAAACAAAATACAATGTCAAGAAGCTCTGCAGAAGTTGAATACAGAAGTATGGCCAATGCAATAGCAGAAGTGGTCCGGTTGACAAGGTTGTTCAAAGAGTTAAATGTGGACTTAATACTTCCAGTGAAGTTGTCTTGTGATAGCAAAGTAGCCATTCAAATTGCTGCAAATCTCATCTATCATGAGAAGACCAAACTTATCAAGATCGACCACCATTTCATTCGAGAGAAAATCCAACATGGCCTAATTCAGACTGCACATATCTCTACAAATTTGCAAATAGCAGATGTATTAATTACCAAAGGACTAGGGAAGACACAACAAGATTTTCTATTATCCAAGCTGGGAGTGTACAACTTATTCACACTACACAACTTGAGGGGGAGTATTGAAAACATAGACTCAAGGATAGTTAAGTAGTTAATGTGTTGAGGATAATTATGTAATTTTCACCTGGGTTAGTTTAGTCGATTATATCTGTTATTAATACTGTAGCTTTATTCTTCAATGAAACAGTTCACATTTTCCGGCCTCTCTTCTCTCTTCTAACTACGACTGAGCTCCAGCTTAGATGCTTCCATGGCGGCCTTCGACACAAGTACTCAAATGTTATTTTGTGGCTTCAATGAGATGTATACAAATTTTGATGATCACGTTGTCAAAATTTTGGTGGAAAAAATTACTCAGTACTTATCATAATAACCAGGACACTAATGTCATAAAAATAAGATTTTAAGGTGACAATTAGCCTAAAGATAGTTAAATTTGAATGGATGGTCATAGTAATAACTATGGAGGAACAAGTATGAAGAATTCATATAATAGACTTTAATTAATTTAGAATTAAAACGTACATTGATTGAGTAAATATATGATACTAGTCAGAAGCACCAAGTATGATCTCAACACCAATAAGGGTTGTGCTGGATTGGTAAGCACTGATTTATCTTAATTTAACCAAAGGTCTCGGGTTTGAGTCCCTAGGTATAGAGTCGCCTTTGTTAGGGAACGCTTTAGCCCTTAATGTAGAATTTTTCGGCGCGAATTCAGATTTAATTGGGCTCTAATATGAGTACTGAACACCGGGCGGAAAACCAAAAAAAGTATGATCTCAACTATTTTATGAGCACTTTTCCAGTGAATGTGGTTAACCACACTGTATGTACTTCTTGCACCTTTCCTTTGGAAACTAATTTAACGTACGCAGCTTGAGCAAGTAACTGTAAATGTAATATCTTATATTGAATTACATTAGTCCGCTTTCTCTTGACGTCATTTTAATGATAGAAGCTCGTCCCCATGATTGCACTCGTCCAAACACAGCAATCAAAAGCAAAAAGTATTTGATACATATTATTGGAGCACATACCAATTAATGTGTTGGTTTTAGTACCTTTGATTGGCTAAAAACAGGAATGGAAAAAGAAAAAGATTCCTTTGCAAACACTTCTATAAATAATATAACATCATAGAGTATTAAATTAGCAAAATGGTTCTAAATTATCGTTTACGATATTTGCTGGTGTTATAATCTTATAAATAGGCTATATCTGGTGTTTGTTTCTGCTTTCATCCAAAGTTGTTATGATTACTTATTTCTAAACTAAGTGGCGGTTGCAATGATGGGTGATTATTAACCCCCAAATATGGAGATTTTTGGAATTTCCCTAATATCTTTGACTTCTTCTTACGAGGAGTTCATTTCTCATTGAAGAGAGAAAAGAAAAAAAAAGAAATATACAATTAATTGGTTGGACTGACTTTATACACTAAGAAAGAGGCTTGTGCAACAATCTCCGCTTCTAGTACAGCTAATGGATGATTTAAATATGAAAGTTAGAATCTTAATTAAGGTGTTTGGTTGGTGATGACCCACGGAGCAAGAATTTGAAGTTTATGAGTTTAATAATTTAATTTGTTTAAGTTACTGGGTTCTAAATTAATAAATATAACCACATATATTCAATGAATTTCTTAAAATAAATACATCATTTGGACAAAAGTTACTGATTCAGCCAAACCCGTAAATCATGTTCTAGGTCCGCCCTGATGGATCATCCTTATAATTAGAAGTATCTTTCGATTTACATTCCTGTTTTGGAGTAATATATACAAGGATTACTTCTTAATTTATGGTTTCGTCACAAAGAAAAAGGTCTGCCTATTCATAACCTTTTTCTTTTCTCGCTTTTCGCTTTTGGACGGAAATTGGTTGTTGGGTCCTTTTTGTTTTTAATCCTTTAGAAAAAAGGGCAATTTTCCGCTATTTTTGTTAGAATTTATTTGCTAATCAGCAGGCGCTACTATAAGTTACTGAGAAAGGACTTTTATTTTAATGCAAAAATTATGATGAAAGAAAGTAACTTTTCTTTTACAAGAGGTCAGAAAATATCTTGATGTTTAGATAATACTCCTATTAAAAGATGTAAACTGACATGCTCTCTCACACTTTCAAGAAAATAACGACGGTATTTGGAACTCAAAACCTCTTAATTTTAAAACCCCTGTCTCTTGCTCTGTTAACCATTGGATGACAAAATCGGAGGGGGTAAACATATGATTAGTAAAATTCCTAAATGGTCATAGATGACAAAATAAATTAGCAACAATAGCAGAACATTTAGGTAGAAGCTTTAAACATAAGATATAATCTTGCTAAAATTATTTAAGAAAGAAGAAAATAAAAGGAAGGGGGAAAACACCTTCTCGGTGAATCTTACAACGTTTTAATATCCTTTTTTTTATTTATAAAATTAAAATAAATAACTCGGTGGCTGATTTTCATAGTAAATATTGAACAAAAACATAGGCGGAGCTAGAATTTAAATCTTATAGTTAGGGATTATAATCTTTTTAAGTTACTGTGTTCTAAATTAATAATTTGTATATATTTATTGGATTTCTTAATACAAATACAGGGTTTGAATAAAAGCTACTAGGTTCGACCGAACCCGCAACTAACACCGTGGCTCCACCCCTGAACAAAACATAAAAAGGTTAATTAACTTCCCCCAAACATAACTAGTAAATCAACTTTGCTGAGGAATGACGGGAACAATTAATTTGTAGGTTATGATGCAAGAAAACGTAACCCACCTCTTTTCATTTTCCAGAACAGAATCTCAAGTTGCTCAAAGTGCATGCATTGTATATTCATCTCTTTTTATTTAATGTTGTTTAGAGGTATCGTTGATCCTATAACATACCTGTGGTTTGCTGTCATGTATATAATATTATTATTGTCAACTACCGATATACCATCTGCATATTCTGTTAAACATTTACTGTATATAGTTTATGGAAAGTATTCATATTGTTGCTAATACCACCTTATTTTATTTTATAATTTTATGTTAGCTTTAACCCCTTAAATTAAACGCCACATCCATTATTTGCCTTCCCTAAATTTAACTTTCAAATGATAAATATGCCATTTGATATTGCAATACGTCTAGGTTATTTCATAATCTTCAATCCTTGTTTGGATTTTGTTTTTACAATTTAACTTTCAAAAGATACGCAAAGAGATGGAAAATTGATGAAGGCAATGGTCTTATTTCCACGTACTACCTTTTTGGATACTTGTGATTTAAAATAAATTTTGGGTATTTGCGTAAATTATAAATCGGGTAAAAGTAGAATTTTAAATTTAAATTATTTTTAAATATATAAATATAACATTCTTCTCGAGACAAACTAATATCGAGAATACTTAATAATTTCTTGAAGTATAGTTCAAATTGAATTTGGAGAATTATGAGAAAATATTATTGTCTGCCCTGGTCTGCTCTTAACCCAAGAGGGTTTAGTAACTTGTTTAATGCAACTCGTTTCATTTGACTATTATTCCGAAGTATGTGCAGATACTGCTGACCAAACCACAACAATGACAGACTGACAGTAAAGAATCTGAATATCCAATTTTCCTCTTTCCCTGCCTTCTAGTTTTCTCTACGTCCCCTCCACTTTTTTTTGGTCTCTCTCTCTCTATATATTGGCGTATTTCAGCACTGTCGTCTTAGCGCGCTCACATTTGTTCCCTTCCCTTAAAACAATTTCCCATACCTAATCAACTTTTGAGGAGCTATTCTCTTTATACTTGAATCTTCTCCTATCGTCCTATTTGGATTCTTTTTCACTGTCCCCTGCATCATGTAAATCTGCTATTCTTCTATTCTGCTTGATTTTATTTGGCGTCGTGCATTGTGTTCTTTTGAAGTTTCCCATAAATATTTGGACTGATATTGTGCCAATTAGAAAATGGTGTATTTTGCTACTATAATGGCTTTTTATGGACTTGCCGCCATTCCCTAGTACTTTAATTGTGCAGCTATTTTATTGCCACTTTTTTTTTCCCACAACAGAAATCTCATCAAATTGGTAATTGATACAAGTCCAACGACTTGAGTTGATTAATTGTTATCTGCCCAAATGGAAGAGTCATTTGTCCCATTTCGTGGAATCAAGAATGATCTACAGGGACGTCTGCTGTGCTACAAGCAAGATTGGACCAGTGGAATCAAAGCTGGCTTCAGGTACACCACACTCACTCTTGTACTATCCAATAACCAACTGAATGTTGCGCTAAATGTCTTCAGTTGACTAATTGATAAAATCTACTAGTTACACTGGGTTGTTGTTGCTGTTGTTGTTGTTATTGAAGTACCAGTACTTGTTAAAAATTCCATGTCGGTTGAGGGAATTAATTGTTGTCTCCTTGTATATATGGTTTTGTGTAATTCTTAAATAATTTTTTAAGGTTATGTTCAAACGAGGTCCATTTTCTTCGCATAGTATCGAGCTACACCCATCCTTATTTTTGGTTTAACAAATGTTGGGCTTCATATCATGTTGTCCACGCTCCAGATGTCCAATGCTAGACACATGGACAGAGCTAGATAATAAATTCCGGGATTAGTTAGTAACTTTTGCTTAGGCTCTATACTTTATTATAAAATCCTTTAAATACATATAAATATTTAATTGGGAACCTAGTAACTAAAACTAGGTGAAGGTTCGTGTCAAATTCAGAATACATAAACTTCACATCCTGTCTTTGTCTCCGCCTCTGGCATGGGCATGAGAGGGGTGATAAGTGGCATGGGCATGAGAGGGGTGATAAGTGGCATGGGCATGAGAGGGGTGATAAGTGTCTCACATTAGTTTAGCTTAGCTGAACAAGAAGCTACTGGCTTTCAGGATCTTGGCACCTACAACATACATATTCTTTGCCTCGGCAATTCCAGTGATTTCATTTGGCGAGCAGCTGGAGAGAAATACTGGTATGTTATTACAAGACTAGCAATTTGCTTTACAAATGTTTTTTAAGTACTTAGACGTGCAGTTTAAAATTCTTTTCTGTTTCGTTCATCAATTGAAAATTGATACTCAAAAGTCAACATTTGCAGATGGAACTCTAACTGCAGTTCAAACACTAGCATCAACTGCAATTTGTGGAATTATACACTCCATCATTGGTGGTCACCCTTTGTTGATTTTAGGAGTTGCAGAACCTACTGTTATAATGTACACATTCATGTTTAACTTTGCTAAACAACGTCCTGAACTAGGTCCTGGTCTCTTTCTTGCTTGGACTGGTTGGTAAGTACACATTCATCTTTTTTTGTCTGAACATGAATAACCAGTTAGTCTAATCAACAAGCTAATATCATTTTGATTTTCCAGGGTATGCGTCTGGACTGCAATTTTACTCTTCTTATTGGCAATATTAGGAGCTTGCTCCATTATTAACAGGTTTACCCGTTTGGCTGGTGAACTATTTGGCATGCTTATTGCAATGCTCTTCATGCAACAAGCTATCAAAGTAAGCGAAATAGTAGTACTATTTAATCAACTACCCTCCTTATTATCCAATCAGGAGGGCATTTTGAATTACTTGGAAAAGAAATAACACTAAAATGTGTTACCTCGACTACTCCTTTCTGGTTATCGTGCTATTGTTTAGCTGAATGCAATCAAAAAAATAATTTTCTATCCTGTTTTTACATTTATATATTAGGGCCTGGTAGAAGAGTTTCGTATTCCGGAAAGAACCAATCCTCGTTTAACAGAGTTCATGCCTTCGTGGAGATTTGCTAATGGAATGTTTGCCTTGGTTCTCTCCTTTGGTCTACTGCTAACTGCTTTGAAAAGTCGAAAAGCAAGGTCATGGCGATATGGAACAGGTAGTTTCATCATGGTGACTAAACTCCGTCACTGATATTTGGATCCCAATCGACAACTTTAGACTTGGATGACTTAACATTTTGTCTTCCGTTTTTGCAGGTTGGCTTCGTAGTCTTATTGCAGACTATGGTGTGCCACTTATGGTTGTGGTCTGGACAGCAGTTTCCTATATACCATCTGAAAGTGTTCCTCAAGGAATTCCAAGACGCCTCGTCAGCCCAAATCCGTGGTCACCTGGTGCTTTTGAGAATTGGACAGTTATCAAGGCATATGTTTCTTCCTAACTGATTTTCACTTTATCTCTAACTACCGTCTGTCTAATTATCTGCCTTATGGACGACTAACTTTGATATTCTGGCCATCTGCAGGACATGCTAAAAGTGCCAGTTCTCTACATACTTGGTGCTTTCATTCCTGCAACAATGATTGCGGTGCTTTACTATTTTGACCACAGTGTGGCGTCTCAACTGGCACAGCAGAAAGAATTCAATCTTAGAAAGCCACCTTCTTTCCATTATGACTTGCTTCTTTTGGGATTCCTGGTATGCAATGTTACACATATCTTTGGTTTCCATATTTTCTTCACCTTAACATATCTGTTTCCTTTAACTTATTTTGTTACTTCGGGATTCTTGGTGACAGACACTAATGTGCGGCCTTGTTGGTATCCCTCCATCAAATGGTGTGATCCCACAGTCCCCAATGCATACAAAAAGTTTGGCTACTCTTAAACACCAGGTAAATTCTAGTTAGTGAAAATACTTCACATGTGTTCTTCTTTAAATTGTCGCACAAACTAAGATAACCTTGTTACGCAGTTGCTTCGTAACAAACTTGTTGTCACAGCACGCAAAAGTATGCAGAAAAATTCAAGCTTGGGACAATTATATGGGAATATGCAGGAAGCTTATCAACAAATGCAAACTCCTCTGATCTACCAGGAGCCATCAGCCAGAGTACGTGACATGCCTCTTCTCCCTTTTATGGAGCTTAATATCCTGCTATCTATAGTGACGTAATCGGAAACTATGTCAATAACCATTACTACCTACTTGACTTTACCCAAGTATTTCCATTACAGCTCATATAACAACTTGATTTCTTTATTTTAGCAGGGTCTGAAGGAGTTAAAAGAATCAACAATTCAGTTAGCATCAAGCATGGGAAACATTGATGCTCCAGTGGATGAAACAGTGTTCGACGTAGAGAAGGAAATTGATGATTTGTTGCCAGTTGAAGTGAAAGAACAGCGCGTCAGTAACTTGCTTCAAGCCACTATGGTAGGGGGATGTGTTGCTGCCATGCCAGTGCTCAGAATGATCCCAACCTCAGTGCTATGGGGATATTTCGCTTACATGGCCATTGAAAGTTTGCCGGGCAATCAATTTTGGGAGAGAATATTGCTACTATTCACTGCACCAAGCAGAAGATACAAGTAATTAACCCTTTTAAAAATGCCTTTAAGTTTATCTTTCCAATTGGTTTTTTAAGGAATTTCCTTAACAAAATGATGAATCTTGCTTGCAGAGTTCTAGAGGATTATCACGCCACTTTTGTAGAGACTGTGCCTTTCAAGAGCATAGTGACATTCACAATATTCCAAACACTATACTTGCTTGCTTGCTTTGGCATTACGTGGGTTCCAATCGCGGGGCTCCTTTTCCCTCTTTTGATCATGCTTTTGGTTCCTGTGAGACAATACATATTGCCTAAGTTTTTCAAAGGGGTACACCTTCAAGATTTAGATGCAGCAGATTATGAAGAGTCGCCAGCTATACCATTCAATCTTCCTACGGTAAATTCTCTATTCAGTAAACTAATATTTGATTGTAATTTCATGAATTTTAGGACTTGAGGACTAATGTCAAAGCATGCAGGAGGGTGAATTTGGTTCAAGACCTTCCTATGCAGGAAGTGGGGAAATTTTAGATGAGATGATTACCAGAAGCAGGGGTGAAGTCAAACGCATTAACAGTCCGAAGATCACAAGTTCAACAGCAACTCCAATAAGAGATTCCAAGCTCCTTCAAAGCCCACGCGTTCCAGAAAAAGCATACAGTCCACAGATTAGCAAACTGAGAAGTCCCCTTTCTGGCGGAAGAGGGCCTTTCAGTCCGAGGACTGGAGAGCCAAAGCCATCCAATTTGGGCATGAGTCCTCGGACATCAACTTCTAACGACTAAGAGACATTGACTTCCTGCCCTTAAGCTAGTTTGATATGCCTAAAGCTTTGTACTTCCATTTGATTGTCTCCTTCTCCTGCATTTTAAGCGATGCATTTGGAAATGTACCTGTAACATTAACCGAGTATTGATGTCTTAGAATGATAATAGTTGGGAAGTGTTTGTTTGTTCATATATTTTGGAGATAATATTAATAATAGCAGCTAAAGTGTATTTATCCATATTTACTTGTACAGCTTTGCACAAGTCCTTTTTCAACTCATCTTAATCGCTTACCTGAAAGTGGAGTACTCATCCTAAAGAGAATATTACACTACAACAGCAGTCTATTGTTTAAAGTTGATTAATTGCACTTAACATATCAATCAGCTACATCTAAATCCAGATTAATAAGGGCGAAAGAAGAAAAGAAGTCTAGGACATGAATAATGTTATAGAGTAAACAGTTTTTAGCTACATCAATGATCTTATTAGATTCCTGATTTGAACATTGTCAAGTATATCGGAGTGGATTAAGTTTTGAATGGTCAAAAGTTTGTTTCTAGATTGATCAGCATTGTGTCCAGGAGCTTCTTTATCGACAAAAAGTCAACAGTCGAATGACTTGAATATAGCCAAGCATAGAAAAATGAAAAGAAAAAAAGGTGATTATCAGATAAGAAGTCATGATTATGAATGCTCGAAGAAAAGGAGAGGTCAAAATTGAATTTGAGAAAGCATGCATATGGAATTAGTGAAGAAGCGAGGGAAAGAATATAATGTGAAAGCAAAGGGAGAAGTTTGTGGGTTTCATGGCATTTGACTTAAATAAGTGGAAAACATAGGAGATCACTTTCTAATGATTTCAGGATCTCTGTTGTTATTATTTTTGGCCTATCTGAGGGAATAATGGTAAGAGTTGAAAAGTGAAGATTGAAAACGACCAAACTCAGGTGACAATTCATTTCACGTATTCATATGGTCGGTTATGACATGAGGCCCATGACTACGTGATTTAATTAGGCCCCCGGCCCCTAGCTAGCTAGTCATGTCTTGCTAGTGACACCAACGGCGACGGCAGAATTTGCATCTAGGGTTTCAATAATATATCTACACTATATAAATAAGAATTTTGACCTTAACTGTACGCTGTGATTTCTCGATAAAGAAGATTCAGATGAACCTCCTTCGACTCCATTGATTATGAAAGTAATCACAAGCACTACTCTACTGCTGGGTACTATGCCACTGTAGACGTAGTATTTTAAACAAAATAAGTTCAGATTAAATACATCTGTGTAGATTAGAATAATTAACTGATTATTGTTTATCTAGGTCAGATCAGTCATTTACTTTTGCTTTAGACAGTATACTTCAATGTATATATATTTAAGGCAAAAAGATTGAAATATATTTGCTGTCAATATTCTAGTCAAGAGTTTTGAAGAATTCAAGCTTCACAAACATTTCAGTCTTTTCGGATAGGAAACTCATTATTAGGAGTGTAAGTAGGCCGGGTTGGTTCGAATTTTTCAATTACCAAACAAACCAATTGTCTCATATTTTCAAATTTATAAACCAAACCGACAAAAGTCAGGTTTTTCAATCACGTATTTTCTCGGGTTTTTCCGTTTTCTCGGATTTTCGGGATTTTTTTCCAACAAAATCTTCATGGCATAAAATTTATAATTTGGGGTCTAATATTTCTTAGGTCCTAGTAGGATAAAACTATATAAGATGTTACCCAAAAAATAATACAAAATAATATGAGATGAGTCATAATTATACTAAAATACTCAATAAATTGCATAAGATAAATATTGCTAATTAATAAGCCATAATAAAAATAAACATAATCTAAAAGTACTAAGTTATGTTAAAATAAGTACGGAAGTACTAAGTATTAATTACATGCTTAAATAATATTAAAAGTGAGTTATGCATTTTCACTATCTAAATCAATGCGAAACTAACTAAATAAATAAATATCCAATACTATTGTCATTTCTAGTATTGAATTGATATNATTGATTTTTTTTTTTTTTGGTTAGCATTATTATTGATTTGATTTTGCTTTGAGCTTTATTTGAGTTACTAAATTTTATGGGCTATAAATTAAACTATTTGGCCATTCAAAAGGGGCATTTGCATCTATACCCGTTTTCTGTGTCATGTTTTAACTTGTGCCCGCTTTGCAAAAAAAAATTGCAAGCGTACCCGCTTTTTCGCATAACTTCAGCATACAGGGCTGAAGTAACAAAGGCAATCACGCAAAACTTCAGCATTCTAGTAGCCGGGCCTGAAGTTCAGCTCTAGAGCTGAAGTTTTTGTTTTGTAACTGCGAATAAAGCTGAAGTTTTTATTTTGTAACTGGCGAACTTCAGCTCTAGAGCTGAAGTTTTTGTTTTTGTAACTGGCGAACTTCAGCTCTAGAGCTGAAATTTTTGTTTTGTAACTCACGCTCTAGAGCTGAAGTTTTTGTTTTGTTACTGGCAACTTCAGCTCTAGAGCTGAAGTTTTTGTTTTGTTACTGGCAACTTCAGCTCTAGAGCAAAGACGGGGTTAAAATCTCGTCCTCTCTTCTACTGGAATTAGTCGTAATTTAAAGTAGGCAACTTAATTAAGCCAGAAATTGTTCTTTTACATAGTTTGACCTCGATCATCAACATACTTTGGGAAAAGAACAATATTGATGTCGAATGTTCTCGGAGAGGCAACGTTCGAGGAAGGCAGTATATACTTTATTACGAATTAAAAACAAAACATAAAGATGCACTTCACATAATTATTCAAAAATAGTCTGATAGTCTTGTGTTTTTGTTTTCACATAAGAACAACTGGGCTCCCTACTTTTCAATTTTATAGTCCATATTTATGATAATGAAGTTATTTAAAAAGTGGGTACAAGTTAAAAGTTTTAAAAAAAAGGGTATAAGTTAAATGGGGGCGACCGGTGCAATTTTTACCATTCAAAAGTTCTAAGTTCAAGCTTGAAATAATACATTAAAAGAGGAAACTATTAAAGAGTTTAAATTATATTTATAAATTACATTACAATAATTATTTTGATGTCTAAAATATTTTTAAAACTTGTATACATGTAATGTTGGGTTGATTTGGTTTCGGTTTGACTTTTTTTAGTCAAAACCAAACCAAATCAATTATGGTCGGTTGTTTTTTTCTAACACCAAACCAAATTAAACCAAATCATAGTCGGGTTCTTTTTCTCGATTTAACTCCAATTATCGGTTTTGTGCAGTTTGTCGGTTTTCTTTGTATACCCCTAATTTCAATTAACGCCCCTCTAATGTTATGAGGAAGTCGGGACCTCACATACGAAATGAAACCATGTTTTTTTCAAAGTCACACAGTCACACTGTTGAAGCTGTAGCAACGAACAGAACCATTTTTGTACTTCTTACTTTTATTTTTTGGGTTTTGATTTGTGACGCACCTAAGTCCGATAATTTCAGCATTGACTTGTTTTGGACCAGCTTTGGAGTAATTTGGCCATATTAATAATGATGTTTCTTTGTTTTGTTCTTAGGTCTTGAGGCGATGCGCAAAGGGTTCAAATACATAGTTATAGGTAGCAGCTACACCAACCAGCTCAAAAATTAGAGGTGGAACTAGGATTTGGACTTTAATGATTTTAAGCATGAGTTTTGAATTTAATTTTTGTACATACAGTATGTACAAATTTCTAAATATAAATACAGGATTTGGATTGAAATTACTGATTCGGCCCCCGCCCCTGCCAAAGATGAGTTACTACATAAACTAACACAAGACTTGTATTCTAGTTGTACTGATTGTATAGGCCGAAAATCTGCCCTAAGGAAATAAGCGTAAAGAGGCATTAAGGAAAGGATTGACCGAGGTCGACCAGGAATCAGTGAGATTCGTGGCGGGCTAGCAAAAACGATCGAGGTCGAGCATCCGGGACAGAACAATAACGACTAGTTTTTGTAATAAGATATTAAAGAGAATATTCTATTAAATATTCTCTGCACTTGTATTGTTAGGGTTTGTTAAGAGTATGTCTCATATAAATAGAATAAGGGTCAATAGTGTAAGACATGTAATATTCACTTGATAAGAATACTTTTTGAGAAGAAGATTCTCTCTCCAGCAAAGATACAAACTTTACCTTTTCATCAAGATTCTTACTCACATTATTCCATACTTTTCCATGATTTCATCAGATCCGAGAATAGTTCAAATTATTCTAGGATTTATCTGTCATTCATCATTGTTAGAAGGGGGAATCATCCACTTCATTCATTATTAGGTAAATTATACTCCCTATTTACATAAATGTCATTTATTGTTTGATATTCCCCTATTATTGCACACATCTTTTGGAATATTAAATGTGCATTACTTTCAGTTTCCCACCGACTTTATATCTTACATTATCCATGCTACCAAGTTCTAAATCTAGAGAAACTATCATTAACTAAGTTTAACCCCTCATTATATAAAATTAAATAGTTTAAGCGAAAGTTTATATTTTTGGTCAAACAATTTGGCACCGTCTGTGGGGATTTCCTAGTTAAATTTTTAGTTTTCTCTAGATCTACAAAAAAAAAATTCCTTTTCCTTGTACGCAAATCTAATATGGCAAGTAACGGGGAAGAAAGAGTGAGGGTAATGACCGACCTTACAACCAACCTCTTGAGCGCCATCAATGAGGTTTCTGAAACAGAAGGTGAGGACATAACCTCCCAGGCGAGGCGGGTCACCTCCTCCTCACGGTAGTATCGCAACGTCCTGCGGTAAAGGAGCTTTCACATCCGTGATAGAAGAGATGCCACTAGCAGTAAAAAAGCTCCTCGAAGCTTGGTTTACTGACACGCTAACCAACATCCTCCACAAGCCCGCTCAGGATACAGTTATAGAAAATGCAAGGGCGTGCGTTACACCAATAATGGGTGAGCAAGATGGACCATTTCCTCCTCCGATGATAGGTATGACTCACAACACCGCTAATAGTGCAGCTGCCGACACCCTCACGACCATTTTGAAAAAAATGGAAGAAATGTAGAACGAGAACAAAGCACTTCGGGACCAAATCAGAGAACACCAAGAAAGGGTCGACAAAATACCAGGTGCCTCGAAGCTCTCACTAAAGAGAGACGTTGGTCAGTTCGTTGAGCAACCATACAGTGATGAAGCTGCCCCGTCTGCCATACCAAAGACCTTCAAAATGTCGCCCTACCTGAAAATATATGATGGTACGAT